ATTTGATCAAAATAGGAGAGAGAGAGAGGTGGTGTGCCTCTGCTCCTGCTTTAGTTTTCCAGACCAGGCTAATAGTTACAGTAATAGCAGCAGTATTTATTTCCTTTTCAGACCTAGCTGATTGATGTGTTGACATGCTTTGATTTATTTGGTGCAGCAACCAAGTGCACTAGGTGCGTTGCTCTGCATGCCAATCCCTTACATTGCGTATACATTGCTCCTGTATATTGCCTTGTATATCTGACAAAATGACTCTAATCTTTTAACAATTCATATTTCATCTGGACTAGGGAACTGTGAGAGGATCTAAATTCTCTTTAAATGGATACCATGGACTTACCACCACCAGTTATGAAAATGAACATGCGTCAGTATTGTGAGAACAAAGAGTACAAGATCTTGATAGGAAGCAGATGTTGTTTTTTCTAATATATATACATGCAAGTAAATATTTACATGTATACACAAGGGATATAGACAACACCAGTGCAATTGGCTTTCTAGGGTGTCTCCTCTTGGTTGCTCTTCAGCAGAGTTGTTCTTCAGTGCAGTTGAAGGAAGTAATTGTGATCACTGGATTTTGATGTAGGTTATTTAAAGACAGGAGACCTAGAATAGTGAAAAATAGTTTCAGGACAAGAAATAACCAGTAAGGAATAAAAAAGCTTTTTAGATGGCTTGCAGGTGGATTTGGAGGGCAGGGAATGGGCTACCATTGGCTTCAACCTAAAACCTAGGGGAAAGACCTCATGATTTGCTAAGCATTTTTTCTTGGGTGGCTCCTGGCTATTTTGTGCTAGTATGTGAATTCCCTTTTGCTAAAGAATCTCTCTGATTTATCTTCAAAGGGTATTTCTCTTGGTTCATTATTTTTACCTAAATTGTGTATTTCATAGATGACTGGGGTTTTTTAAATTTTATTTCTTCTCTAAAACTGTTTGCTCGAAACTGCATTTTTCCTCTACAACTGTTTTTTCATCTAATGTTCTCTCTCCTGAGAGGCTGTTGGTTATTTATCAATATTTGATCTGTCTGTAAAACATACTTCTGTGGGGTGGCTGTTTATTATGAAACAGTCTCTCTCTAAAGTGGATCTTATCATCATCTTTTTCTCTGTTTGTCTACCTCTTTCTTAGCTAACCTAGTGGCTTTAAGTACTCAGTTTTTCTATTTTAACAAAATTAAACACAATCATAAGGACAAATACTGAGCAGCAAAAGGTGATACACCAGAATCCAGTAAAACTTCCACATCTTGAAACTGTGCCAGGTGTTTATAGGTGTAAGTGGAAAATCCCCTGCATTTTCTTCAAATGTACATATTGCAAAATTGATTTTCACTGAGTTGTCAGTAAAATAAAAACAGTAAAATAAAGAGCAGAAAATGCCATGTATACTGTCTGCCTCTTAGGCCAAACCGTCAGGTTAAACATTATTGAATCCAGTGCATTCTTAATCAACACCTTTGATTCAGTGACACTGAACTAACGATGAATCTGAACCATGAAGATTGCAACATTCCCTTAATTCTACTATTTCTTCAGCATATGGGTTCTAAATTACTGTTGATGTTAGAGACAAAATAATATTCATTAGGAGGTAATAAAAGGAGCAAAAATAAGTGGAAAACTATTTGTGAGGGTTTCTCCTGGATTTTGAATGGAGATAGACATTAGCTAGAAAGGAAATTATATTTAATGCAGGCTGCATGTCTCACTAATGACAAGAGCATTTCTCCCATGAGTAAACTGAGGCCTCTGAGCTTGTTTATGGATACCTTAATAGAAATAGTTGCATTAGTGTGTCCTTTGCATGTAGACAGTCACTGAGAGTTTTTTCCGAGGTATTCTTACCAGATTTGATTTTGCAGTATGTACATAGAGGAATACTTATGCAGTTTTAAAAATATTTTCTTTAATGCATTTTAGATACTGAACTTTAAATAGCACTATATGTTTCTGGCAGCCTCCTAAGATATCCATTATTCATTCTTCATTAGCTGATCTTCCAGTCTACCAAGGAAGTAGAGCATTCAAAGGTCCCGAAGATCAGTACGTGCTTGTATTTTTTAACCTTATTTTTCACAATATCAAACTCTAGGTCAGCAGTGTTTTGAAAGTCAGGTGTTTAGCAATTGAGTCATGATTATTTTTTTTATAAATAGAGATCAAGAAAATGCTCAATAACAGGAGATTTTTGAAATGCAAAAATTTCAGGATTTTTTTATTTGCTTTTTGGCTTGTAAAATTTGCTGAGAGGGTGTTTTAATTTTCTTCACTGGAACAGTTAAAACTAAAAAAAGTTCAATTTTATTCTTATACTGTAGTAACTTCATTCAGGGATCTAGAGGTTTAAGAAACTTCTCACCTATCAGATGACTTATGAAAAAATCCTAAGCTTTCTTATGACTAAGTCCTGATCTTATGCTGTAATGAGACAGATTTTTTGCTGCTTCAATACTGTAAAAAGGCCCTAAACCTCCCCTGCTTGGCACAGCACTCCTCAAAGTGCAATCCTGCTATATTGTCGATCCTAACATGGTGTTTTTGGGGTTTTCCAGATGCTTATTTCTCAATGGGGAGAAAGATTAGTCTGCTGCCATCCATGCCTGAGAATGGAAGGAACACAGATTGCTTTGAATGCTCCAGTTCTGCCTCCTTGCTCTGAGGACTTCTCAGTTCTAGTGTGTTTTCTTGTAGAAAATTGTTGGCATTTACTCCATTTCAGTATGTAATTAGTAATTAGCCTACTTTGATAATATTATGATTTTTTAGACATAAATATGGAAGTTGAAGCCCTGTTGAAAATACCCTTGCAGTTCATTGCATTTGCTCTATGACAGCGAGGCTCGGCTTTTGTGCTGTCCAAACATTCACACAGCAACGATAAGATACTTGGTAACTGGAAGATGCTTTTTGCTGCTTTCTTTAACTGAAAGTTGTTTGTTGCTCTGATTGGTTATGAAGTACATGCATTTGCATGAAAAAAATACTTAATTTCTATGACAGCGAGGCTGGGCTTTTGTGCTGTCCAAACATTCACACAGCAACGATAAGATACTTGGTAACTGGAAGATGCTTTTTGCTGCTTTCTTTAACTGAAAGTTGTTTGTTGCTCTGATTGGTTATGAAGTACATCCCTATAACTTCTGTATAAATGTTTTCTATTAATAACTATAAATAAATGCTAGCTAACAAGGACTTTGGGGTTTTGAGAAAAAAATCAAGAATGGCAAGAAACGATGGCAATACAAATACCTGCAGATAAGACAGATCTACAGCATTTCCATTTGTCCGCCTCTCTTCAGCGGTTAAGCTGTGTATTATTGCCTCGTTTGTATGATCTGCAGGCTAGCTCTATTGAAAAATGCCTCAAAACAAAGGGAACAAAACCCTTTCACAGCAGTGAGTTTCATATGCATGCAGGTAAAGCAATACAAGAAAAGCTTGCAAGAATGTTCTCTCCAGTAGCTTCCCAGTTTTTGCACCATGTATATCTTGTTCTCTCTAACTCTTTCCTCTGCATTTGTTTGGGTACATGAGTACAGAGTTTATCTGGCAAGGTTATTTTCAAGCACCAGTACTATTAAAAAGATCTCCAGTTGTGTAAGCTACAGACTACAAACACGTTACTACAGTCATTTGCGATGTTCTTTTAGAAACATCTAAGTGTTTGTAAATGTGCTTGTATTGAGCAATACAATATTGGAATACATATTGGACATTGAAATTTCCCTTGTTGTTCTGACGTGTCTTAAAATATCTATTCTAGGTTTGCCAGAACCAAACAAAGACAGTATATTCCAAGGACTGAGAGTGGATCAAGGATTCTACACATCTAAAGACTTCCTACCTTTGGTAGCAATGGCAAGTAAACCAGGTGTGTGATACTATATTGTTTGTTGTAATCCCGTTCAGTAAGTCATTAGCAGTTACTGAGATATCAAAATCGACAGCTGGTTACACAGCAGCACATTCAATTACAAATCACCAGCACAATAGGCCTGGGGCAGAGTTTTCTTTTGGTGAATTGCAACCTCAGGAGTGTGATCAGGAAAGTCTGCCTTAGGGACTGTAAAGTAAATAGTCGTATATGAAGATCTAAGTACATGGCAAATCATTACCCCAAGTCATGCTGCGTGTTTTACAGACACATTTGAGGGACCACTAGCTCCTTACCCAAGCAGTCTAAGACTCAGGACAGCAGTAGTGTGCCAGGAGTTAGTAAGACAACACTCAGTTCATAGACACCAAATGCAGTCTAGTTTTATGCTTTTATGTCATTATTTTGAGTAGAGAGATGCCTGTGTTTGCTCCCCAAGGCGTATAGCTGCTGTCAGTGGCCCTAAATGTGAAATCATAAGCCCCAGATGGGTGTATGAGAAAGGGGCTCATGAGTTCTATGCCACATCCCCTCATGGTCTATATTCCCCAATGTGTTGCTAAAAGAAATTCCGTGCACAGTTTTCTAGACATATACTTTGGGCAATATGAGGTCTTGTACATATGACCGTGTATTTAATCATACAGATACCTTTTTTTATCTCCAAATTGTTTTTTTTCTGAGCATTCAGAAATTTCTTTCATCATCATATAAGGTTGTCTACTTATGTAGTAGACTTTCCATAAACAGTGTGTTGAAGAGTGTAACTTCTGTGGCACATTATTCTGCATATAAAAGTAAAGTTTATTACCCCGTTTTATGCAAAATATTGAGGAAGGGAAATTCTGCATCCCATCTGTCCCATCTTTCTGCTGTTTTGATCAAATGCTTATTTCTGTCTGTTTTCTTAAGCTCAAAGTGAACTCAAATGGGTTGGGAGAAAAGAGTGGTTGTTGGGTTGTTTTTAGGTTGGATTTTTTTTAAGAAAGAGATGTTTAAAAAAGAAACAGACTGAGAATCTGCACTGCAGGACACTTGTAGATTGACAAAGGAAAAATAAATCCTGCAAAACAATCCCCTTTTGAAATATTTTCAATAAAAATACTTTATAGAATTCTGTGTGGACCCATAGCACTCGTGTACTGTAATCACTTATCTGCGTGAGGATCTACATACAATGATCTGCACTCTTGATATACAGTAGCACTCTTGATTTGTCAGAGGTAATGATTTTTTTATGTTAAGTTTACAATGAAAAAAAGGATGAACTTTGAAGAACTAACCTTTTCTGACTGACAGTAATAGATAGCTTTTTGGTGTTGTCTGTTAATTAACATGTTCTCTTTTGCTTAATTTTCATAGTGTCTATCTGTAGCCGTAGCCATCTCTTGCTCTCTAAAGCATGGAATTTTAAAATAAAATGTATATACCCTACGTCCTGCTCCATCCTCTTTTTTCCTGTGACAGTTCTCTAAATAATAGACATAACAGACCTATTCACAGTAAAGTACATTCTGCCTGCTTATTAAGTTCTGAATACCACTTGTTCAAATACTTTCTTTCCAATACATAAATGTGAATTTGTGATGGGAGTGGCCTTGCTAATAGGAGCAAAGTGGGCTGCTGTGACTGATCAGTTCTAGACCAGTCCTGTAATGGCCCTCTGAGCTGCCATTCCACTGCTCAATGTACAATTTTTATGAAGGAATAAGTTTGTTAAAAATAGATGAGAAAAGGTTAGAGAGAAATTTAGAATAAGAAGCCTATTAAGTAAATGGTAAATGCAGTAGGGATGAAAATGATAGCATTTGCCATACATTAAGCATTTTACAAATGGAGAGATAATACATATATTAGGATGTTGTTTCTCACTCTATTTACATATCTAAATTAAAAGCATTGTTTCCTTAAATGATACTTGTGTTTCTTTACAATTATGTATGTAAATCAGGGGCTACTAAGCAGGAAACTTGAGTTACAGTGCAATGATTAAATGGCCAAATTCCACTGCCTCCTGACTGGAATTATCATGGGCCTGTTAAGAATATAGCTTTATATTGTTAATGGCATTATTTTTCAGGTTGCAATAATTTGCCTAATCAACAGTTAGTTGTATTTAAACTTGTAATAAAGTGCAGTTTCATACAAGGAACACACACAGTTACACAAGCACTTCTTTTGTAATTAAATCCTCAAATACAGACTGTGGATGATGAACACATAATGTTGTCATTCTCTCCATGTAACTTTTTGCAGATACTTTTTAGAAAGCCACTGTAGATTAAAAGCTTTTTTTCCCAGTGGAGGATCTAGGAATTACTGTAATAACAGTATCCTTTCTACCTCATGTTCACCTGCTGTAGAGGATAGCCTCTGAGAACCATGTCAGAACAGTGTCAGAGCCTTGTAGAAAACTGATTGAGTGGACTAATTTTGAGAAACTATTAAACAAAACTGTCAATAAGTGGTCATCTTTTGAAAAATACCAAGTATTATGCTTTATAATTTATTAAAAAGTGTTGGTTTGTCGGGTTTTCTGTTTTGTTTTTGTTGGTTTTTGTTTGTTTGGGTTTTTTTAACTGGGAGAATAGTGAATCTGATAAGAGAGAAACTTACTTTTTTGAGTAAAAAGATCTCACCATGTTAATTTCAACCTGACAGGACCCACAATCCTGCAAATGTGTTGTCATTTGAATTCTTTCCAGATAGAAAGGTGCAGCTGCTTAGAGTACTGACTATGAAATTATGTATATGAGCATATCTTAAAAATGGGAAGAAAACTGTCTTTCAGTGAAGCAGAATAATTTGATAGTGACACTCCTTGCCTGGAATCTGTAAGATGCAATTTTACACTGCTTTGAGTACAAGTACCTTTTGAGCTGTCATGCAGAAATGGCTTCTCTACTTGAAAATGGGGTTTTCCTTTCATCTTTTAGGGATGTGTGTCTGTCACTCTCCATTGCCATCGATACGTGGAACTGTGATTGTACTTGGGGCAGGAGACACAGCCTTTGACTGTGCAACATCTGCTTTACGCTGTGGAGCTCGTCGTGTATTTGTGGTCTTCAGGAAGGGATTCACTAATATCAGGGCTGTCCCAGAAGAGGTAAAATTGAATAACAGCATTTATGAGAACCAGTATGGGTTATTATTTCTACAGGGCCTGAAAGTGTGCTATAGGTACTTAAAAGATATCTGTTAAAGATTTTGTTTATAAAAATGCTCTTTAAATGTATAAACATTTATTAAAGATCTGAGACTCACTATATATAATCTCTGTATAATTTTCCTCTGTTGTACGCATTTCCTGTATAAAATCAGAGATGCATTTGCATAGAGGGGATAGAATTTCTTGTAACTCAGAAAATACAGTAAAATTTTTAGTCTTGGAAATACCACAGAGATTAAACAGTCATTTAAGTATTGTAGGTGATTCTTCAGGTCATGGTTAGATCCTGGAATGATACCTTCTACTTGCTGTCTAATGAATCTCAGTGGTACTGACATTGCCTTGGGATCCCATAAAACCTTGTAAAAAAATTACTTACAGTGATTTTGGCTTTGAATCACTGCCAATACAATAGAGCAATGTCATTCATCACAGATTTCTGTGTTCAATTTGATTTTTAATTTGGCTATGCACTTTGGCATTTATCAGGACAACTGCATATTTTGAAACTAACTCTGCTTCCTCAATATATCTGTACTACAGGAGGTTTTTTCAGATTGCTTTTTCTCTATTTTGGTGGTCTTTTTCCATCGTAATTTGTCTTGTATATCCTTTTTGCTTTTGTATACTTGAGCATATAAGGACAACTAATTAGTTTTATGGTAGTATGGTTATCTGTTTCAAGAAGGTGGACATCTTGGAGATCTTAGAAGGGAAATGGAGGTGCAAAAAAAGTGATAGAGGGTCACAATGTGTAATTTCCTTCTGTTCTGTTACACCTCATTTGAGAGCTCTAGACACAATGAGATTACTGAAGGCATTGCACAGATTCTTGTGCTATTCAAATTCTTACTAATCAAGAATCAGCTGCCGCTCTGAACCAAAATCTTTGTTAGCAGCCTAGGTAAGTTCCTAAAAGTGGCAATGTTTGTACTCATCCAATCATGCAGTGACCTTGAAAAAAGTAAAATAGAAGTAGCTTCAGATAGCGACAACCATTCTAGAATAATGTCAGGTTGGAAATTACATGACAGATAAAGTTGTTGTGTAAATATAGACAATTAAATCCACCAAAATGCTATTTGACTTCAGCAGTTTTACCACAGCAGAAATTCAGAAGATCGTAAGTCTGGATTGTCACTCGGAAATCTGTTGCTCGCACATGGTGGTCAGCATTTAATAACATCTTAAAATCACAGTAAACATAAATCAGGGCATGTACATAATTAATACTAGGCCTCTTCTTAAAAGGCACAGGTAGTTACGTAAGGTAATTCTTTTGCCCTCCAAGGAGTTATACAATTCTATGATTCAAATAGGGAGCAATAAATTGCAGAAATATTTGCATTGCAAATTTACCTAGTGCCACTGTCTAGAACCACTTGATTTAATAGCATGGGAGGCTCTGAGGTTGGTACTAAGATGACTGTCTGTATACCATATACAAGGGACTTCTACTACAGAAGAATGTGGGGGTAGCATCTTGAGTACAGAAATGTTGTGGGTTTGTTTTTTGGTTTTTTAAGTAAAAACACAACAATATTCAAGTTATTTTATTGCTTCTACTCTACAGATGGAACTTGCAAAAGAAGAGAAGTGTGAATTTCTGCCTTTCCTTTCCCCTCGGAAAGTTGTACTTAAAGGTGGACAAATTGTTGCTATGGAGTTTGTTCGAACTGAACAAGACAATGATGGGAACTGGAAAGAAGATGAGGATCAGGTTGTCCATCTGAAAGCTGATGTGGTGATCAGTGCCTTTGGCTCTATTTTAAGTGACGCCAAAGGTAACCCCAACTACTTCATTCTGTAAATGCTGATTGCTTTTTTAGCTGCAGCCATTTCCTGCCCTTTGGCACGTTTGTGAAATGAGTCTTCTGGAGGTTATACAGCTCGTGACTGCTGGTCACAGGGGTTTCTTTGTCCTTTAGGTGTGACTCTTAGAGCAAAACTTGAGGGTCTGGTAACAAAGCAGTTTTCTGTATAGAGCAGGAACTCAGATTAGAGGTGCAGTTGCTCAGTATATATCTTGGTTTTCTCTCAGTGCAAATGGGATCTTAAAGAATGCTCTTGGGAATTTCTTCTGGTCTCACTAATTAACTTTAGAGAAACTCATTATACTTCAGCTTTAAACTGAACTGATCTGATCTCTGAAACTTTTTTTAACCTATCAAATTAAGCAAGAATTAAGACATTCATTATTCTGGTTCAGCTGGTCTGGGTATCACTCATTTCTTGTATGTATCTGAGAGAACTGTGGCTTCTCTCATATACACAGTGCTTGTTAAATTCATCTGTACTTGTGTCAGCTTGTCTCATTATTTAGTTGCACTTTACAAGCTTTGGTTACAAGCTTTGGTCTTAAAAATTAACAATTACATGGCTCTATATTAAGGATACAGAAAGTGGCACTTGGAGGGTGTTTCAGAGACTGAACAAATTGTGTAGTGGTAGCAGAAAGGGAACTGAAGAACATGAGTACAACTTAAGAATATGGGAACTGAGCAGAGCTCAGACTGTTCTCTGACAGTAGGTTAGATTTAAAGAGTTCAGGCACATAGATCAAATGTGCCTTAAAAGTAAAAAACACTGACTCAGCAGAAGACAGATTGATAAAATGAATAGATCTTCAGCCTGGAGACGCTCATCAAGGTTAGCAGGTTCTGAAAACCTTAGTGATCAATGTGCCTTACCTCTCTGGGGCATGGTCATGCCAGCCAATTAACCCATGATGTGTTTTCATGGTCCTTTGGGTATAAATGCTCTGACAAAGGACTTGCAAGTGCCTCAGAATGACAGTCACCAGAAAATTTTGTAATTAGGTGCTGATTCTGCCAGTGCAAAGGGAATTTCAAAATTTAGGATAATGTGGTTTTGTAAATGTGTTCAGCCAAGACAAATCATAAATCAAAATAATCTAAGCAGATTCAAGTAGCAGTTGTGGACATAGCTCAGGCATATAAAACGTATGACTTCTCACACCTGCATTTTATATACTTTAAATGAAGTTAAAGAAATGTGTTTTCTGATAGTAAGATTTTCTAGAGTTATTGGTAAAATTATACAGAAAGTGTACTGACTTCACAAGAAGACAAAACATGAATTAATGAAGATACGTTGTAGGTCCCATTGAAGAGCTCTAGAACACCACCGCTAGCCGAGTTGTCTGTAATCCGAACGAGCTACTTGGTGCTTCCTGTTCACCAGCTCTATTGTAGATAAAGGTAAACCAGTTTACAACCATGAGAAGAGTCTAAACTCTCTCCTACAGTAAGAAAGAAGGATCAGCCTGCTTCCTTGAGGAACATATGAAGTTAATTCCAGGAGCATTCCTATCTGGCACGTGTTACTATGGCTTTGGGATAAGTTCATGCAGCCTGGGCTGTTCCCCAGCCAGCCAGTGCAGCCAGCTGTGCGCAGCGCTAATTCCTCAGGGCTGCCTTCTGCCCAGCACTTGCCTCCTGCTCTAAAGGGCACAGGAGGTACAGTCTACATCTCTTTGAGAGAACACATTCCACTTGGAGATGTATTGCTGGGATCTGGGTTGGTCATGTTTTAGGGCTCAATCTAACCTCCAGGAAGCAGAGAGAAGATCATTAAGTTTGGGTTTTTTAATCTTCAGGAGATTCATTAACTACTCTGATGGTGTTTACTCTGATTGAGAGTTTTGGAAAGTTTTGTTGTGGTTATTAAATCCCTCTGTTTATATGTTTTGGAAGGTTTTCTAGAACCTCATGTGATAAATACCAGCCTATGCAATCAGTATGTTTTGTTGTGATTCATAGACCCTATGATAAAGGAGTGATTCTATTTTCTCCTACTAAAAAGGTTGAATTTACTGTGTTGTTTAGCCACAGTACCGTGCCAGACTTGTGTCTCATAGTATGCATTCACTGTTTAAATTAGTTGTTTTGAGGTTTTTTAAATAACAACATAAAATGGGAGGGCAGCAAAGTCATACAGTGAGCTGAAAATGAAAGAAGAAGTCATATACTTTGGGGTTGAGCAGTACACCTCAGTTTTATGTTGTATTTTTGGTGAAATTGCTTTTAGAATAACAGTCAAAGTATGAAAAAAAATGCAAGGCATTTGGTTTGGATGTTGTGAAAATTAAAGAAAAACAAAGACTTGAAGGAATAAAGAGTTAATTTTACAGATATTTCAGTTGTTTTTAAATCTTTGGGGTTTGACTAGCCTGTCTTAATGAAAGTCAAATTTATTTTTCACCATTGAGATGGATTACAACCAAATCTCCAGACTACCTTTGCATATATAATAAAAAGGAAAGCCAAACAAACGAAACAAAAAGCAAAACAAAAAAACCCAGCCTTATATTCTTAGTCCTTGTTTTAACAAGGAAGCATGTTTTGCATTCAAGAGAGGGAGATGCTCAGATATTCTCCATCAAAAGATGAAGATGAAAATACTGGGGATACTCAAAACTGGACAATGCCATAAGCAAATTGATCTGACTTGGAACTTGATCTAACTTTAAAGAAGAGTATGGACTAAGTGACTGCAGAGAGTCCTTCTAGTCTGAATTATTCTATGACTGGATGACTCAGATGTAGGTTGAGTAAACGTGTTAACTGTTGCTCATACAAAGAACTCTATCAATTGATCTAATTTGTACAGCACCTTAGGGAACTACAAATGCAATATTTCATGAGCTAAGCTAGCAGGATACATCCTATTTGTTATTAATATTGTTAAACACTGATGCTACTGATATAAAAATGAAGAAAATACTACGAAAACTGGAGGGGTTAAAATCAGGCTTAGCTCCAGTTCAGCAAAGTGTTCTGGAGAGCCTTCATACTCATGTTTTAAAGTTTTAATAAGACATAAGCATGTGGGTGACTGTTGTTCTGAGCAGAAATAGCTCATAGTTTAGAACACTTTTTCTCGTCTATTATCCTCGGCAAGAAGTTTCTTATTCTTGCACAGTAACTGTTAAATTTGCAACTGAGATCCCATGTGTTCACATGTGTTCATGTATTTAGTCTCTGTTTGCTGATTGTGTTTTTAAGCAACAGTTCTAATAGGTATTCATTCTCCCATTGGGAATCACATAGATGAATCATTAATTTGAAAAAATGGACTTCTAAGTCAATTCTATGCTTGAGAAGTGGCTAATAGACAAAACAGGAGGCTTGCCTTATAGACTGTTTTAGGAACATTACTACTTTACTGAAACCAGTAAAAAAACTCCCAACAAGTTGTTCAAATCAAACTACCACAGATGAAGTAAGAAAAATGTTTTGCTTCTTGCTGGGACTAAAAATATAATTTTCTAAGCAGAAGCTGCTTTTTTTTATTGCATAGCTTACCAAAGCCTTCAGGCCATCATAACTGACCCATATAAACAAAGAGCTGTGATAGAATTTTGGACCTTTCCTCACGTTCCTGCTTTTTTGCTTGGTTTGTTGTTTTGGAGGCCTACAACATACTAATGAATTAATGAATATCTTCTGTCACCATTCTAAAACTGCAACAACGCAATATATACAGTTGTAATAGCATACTCCCTAGCACTGCATACAAGCCTCAACGTCCTACTTAACACCAGTCCTGTTGGTTTTAAAGTCTAAACTTTAATCATTTTCTTCTCTTTTTTTTTTTTTTTGTCGTAAGCAAAAGGGAGCAATATTTTTGGACTGCAAAATTTTACACTGGAACAAACGTTCTGATTTATTTTCCTGAATTTCTGAGGAGAACCACAGAAAAATTATGTAAAATAGTGCGCTTGTTCAAAAACACACTAAAAATGCTGTGCAAGACAAAGTGACTAGGGAACTGGCAATGTAAGTTATTTCTACACTGTTTAGCAGACAACAGAAAAGAAGAAGTATTCTTATTTACCAGAATACTAAATCTTAGCAAGATATTGTCTATTTTCCCAGAGAGAAAAAAGGAGAGCGCAAAAACATCCAGGCAAACTCCAAATACTGCCTTTGCAAAAAAACCCACAAATAGTAGGCTATTTGTGAGTAAAGATATGTTTTATTAAATTTTTGGTGGTAGCTAGCTATTGCATGGTAACTGAAGGGCAAAATTTTATTTCACGTTTCTAGGTATCAGTCACAACTTTTAGATGTTTTGCTTTTGCTTTTAGTACAACTGTCTTGCTTGGAAACTGCAGCAGCAAACCCCAGAAGGTTTACTAGAGTATAACTACAGGAAAGACAAATTTGCCGAACTACTGTACAACTTATTATTTAACCTGCTCCTACTTAGTTTTTATTACTATAGATTGAGAAGCATTTGCTAGGGAAAAAGTGAAAAAGCTTGCAGAGCTCTGAGCTCTTAAGTGAAAAAAAAATTAGTTTTCCTTTGTTCAAATGGCACAGAAGCCAGCAAACCTGCATGGAGTGTTGAGCTCCTCCATAGCGCCTGCACAGACACATGGGTAACTTCAGCCTTAAAGCCCTGAAGCCTTGACTCTCTAATGAGAGACGAGGAGGAGAGGTGGCTGTGATGCTCCAGCTGGGAATGCCCACGGGGGTGACCTGGTGTCTCCCTGATAGCACAGCATCTGCCTCACACCCACAGAGTAGATTTTAGTCACCAGACTTTTTTTTAAAAAAAAGTTATATAAAACTGAAGTTTATGTAGGTTCAAAAGATTCCTAGTGAAATAGGTAGGAGTTTTCCTGCTG